GGGAAAGAGACAGGGGGACCAGACCAGGGAGGTCATGATAGACCATATTAAATGAGTTTAGTCTTTAATTCTAAGTACAATGGGGAGCCAGTGACTGCTTTGGAGTGGAGATTGACATGATGGGATTTATCTTTTTAGAAGATTACTCTGACTCATATGGAGAGTGGATTGAAAGGTACAAGAGTGGAAGCAAGTATACTTTTGCAGAGGTCCAGACAAGAAATGATTATGGCTTGAACTAGAGTGGATGGAGAAAAATGTACTGATTGAGAAACATTCTAGAGGTAACAATGGCAAAATGGCTAATGGTTTGAATGTGAGAGCTGATGGGAGAGCAGTATCAGGAATGATTCTGAAATTTCTTACTTAAAGCAGCTGAGCATATGGGAATGTATGTCAGTTATGAACCAGGGAGAAAATACAGAGCAGGATTTAAGCATGGGCTCAAGGGTTGTTTTAGGCATGTTAAGTACCATATGTATGTGAAATAGACAAGTAAAGATGTCTAGTGAGCTGTTATATATAAGTCTGTCATTCAGAAGGGAGGTCAAGGCAGAGAAACAGTATGTAATACCATAGCAATAGAAAAAATTATCTAGAGAGCCCCAGTTTTGAGGAGCTACAACTTTAGAAGTCAGGCAGAAGGCAAATGGGTATCCCAGAACTGAAGAAAAGAGTATTTCAAAATGGAAATAAGTAAGTTAAAGCTGCTGAGAGGCCTGATAAGATGAGAACTAAAATATCCTTTGGATTTAGTAACAGTTATTGATTGTTTTAACAGCTGCATTTTATTGGGAATGAAAAAACTTAAAGAATGAATGCAAATAGACTTCCAGGTAAAGATGGCAAATGAACTCATGCATCTAGTTGTACTCTCTTAAATTACAATAAAAGGATTTAAAATACACACACACACACACACACACACACACACATACATATACACACACATATACACATATACATGTAAATATATATCCACATACATATATGGAATATATATATCTCCACACAGGTGGGGAAAACTGGAGAGGAGACCCTAGCAACACAAACTAGAAAGGAATCAGGTAAAAGAGGTAACTGACTTGACCCAAGAAAGCCAACTCCTAAACAAGCAGTGGGGAAAGCCAAGAACCAATCTAGTTTACACTAATGCATCAGAAACACCTAGACAACTTAAAAAACAAATTGCTGCACCAGAGTTTCTAATTAAGTAGGTCTGGGGTAGGGTAGGGCCTGAGGATTTTCTAACAAGTTCCCAGGAGATGCTGATACTGCTGACCCTGAGGACTACAATTGAGAACTACACTAGAGAATCCTAAGCAGGCCCAGAATTGGTTGTACCAGGTACCCCTATAAGTGTGGTTAAAGAGGAAGGCTAAAATAAGGAAAGTTCATTAAAACCTGTTTAAGAGCCAGGGGGACCAGACCAGGTCTGTTGTATTATTATAATAGTATAATAATACAATAAGTATCCACAGAGATAAAATAAGATCATGAATCCATGAAACTAGAATAGGCTACTTTTTAAAAGAAATTCAGAGTAGAAAATAGAGCTTTTGAATAATACAAACTTTTTTTTTGCGGAGCACAGGCTCCGGACACGCAGGCTCAGCAGCCATGGCTCACGGGCCCAGCCACTCTGCGGCATGTGGGATCTTCCTGGACCGGGGCACGAACCCATGTCCCCTGCATCGGCAGGCGGACTCTCAACCACTGCGCCACCAGGGAAGCCCTAATACCAACATTTAAAAAAAATTTTAACTCCAAACAAATTAGAAGGTGAATTAAGGTCACCTCTCACAGAATATAGCAAAAAGAGAAGATAGTGGGAGAAAAAAGGCAAGAAAATTAGTATATTCGTTCAAATTCCAAATAATAGGAGTCTGGGGAATAGAGAAAGCAGAAGGAAAGAAGTTATCAACATCACAGTTTAAGAAATTTCCCCAGGGACTTCCCTGGTGGCGCAGTGGTTAAGACTCCACGCTCCTGATGCAGGGCCCCAGGTTTGATCCCTGGTCAGGGAACTAGATCCCACATGCATGTTGCAACCAAGAGTTCGCATGCCACAACTAAGAAGCCCACATGCCGCAACTAAGGAGTCTGCCTGCCACAACTAAGACCTAGTGCAACCAAGTATTTTTTTTTAAAAAAAGGAGAATCCTTACTGCAAAAAAAAAAAGGAGAATCCTTTCTAAAAAAAAAATGAAAAAGAAATTTCCCCAGAACTGAAGGGTATACAATTCCAGATACAAAGAGTCAATAGGGCTTCCCTGGTGGCGCAGTGGTTAAGAATCCACCTGCCAATGCCAGGGACACAGGTTTGAGCCCTGGTCTGGGAAGATTCCACATGCCGCAGAGCAACTAAACCCATGCACCACAACTGTTGAGCCTGTGCTCTAGAGCCCACAAGCCACAACTACTGAGCCTGTTCACCACAACAACTGAAGCCCTGTGCTCTGCATCAAGAAAGCCACCTCAGTGAGAATGCAACAAAGCGTAGCCCCCACTCTGCATCTAGAGAAAGCCCGCGCTCAGCAACGCAGACCCAACACAGCCAAAAAATAAATAAATTAAATGAATTTTAAAAAAAGAGTCAATAAAAGCCCAAATTGGATGAAAATAATCCCACACCAGGTACATCATTGTAAAATTTCAGAACACATGATACACACTTATTATTGCTTCAGGCAGCTGCTGTGTTAAACAATTGCCTCTGATTGTTTTTGACAAACACTGACCGGGGTGTGCACCAGGGCCAAGCTCCAAGTCAAGTCAAATAAAAAGAGCTTTGCAAGTATAGTCTCCCAGGGAACCACCAGACAGGTCAAATAATGACAATTTCCTGGCAATGGAGCTTTTTTTTTTTTTTTTTTGCGGTACACGGGCCTCTCACTGTTGTGGCCTCTCCTGTTGCGGAGCACAGGCTCTGAACATGCAGGCCCAGTGACCATGGTTCACAGGCCTAGCCGCTCTGCGGCATGAGGGATCTTCCCGGACCGGGGCACGAACCCGTGTCCCCTGCATCGGCAGGCGGACTCTCAACCACTGCACCACCAGGGAAGCCCACAATGGAGTTTTAAGGAGCTCTAACGCCATCCTATTCCTTGCAGTGGCTGCCAGGCTGAGGTTTTCACTGTGGTTGCTGCTTGTTAGTTTTCAAGGCTACCATAGAACTGAAGAGGGGGAGATTGGGTATAAGGCAAGTTAAAGTGCCACAGAGCTAGTGAGCTTCTTACCAACATTCAGCCTTTCTCCTTGAATAAATGCTACCTTTATCAGCCTTTGTTTAATTTCTATAGTTTTCAGAATGCTGATTTGGACAATTTTTGCCCATGTTCTTATGGCTTTTATGGAGGAGATGATTTTCATAGGTCCTTACTCTGCTGTTTTTGCTGGTGATCATCACATGTGGCTCTTTAGGTTAACAAAAATTAAATAAATTCAATTCCTTAGTTGCACTAGCCGTATTTCAAATTCTCAAAAGCCACCTGTGACTAGTTGCTGTTCCACTGGCCAGCGCAGATAGAACATTTCCATCATCTCAGTTTTATTGCACAGTGTGGCTTTAGGGTATTATCCTTATTTTATAGATGAGTAAACTGAACCTCAAAAATGGTAAGTAACTTGCTCAGTCTCTGAGATTTCAAAGCCCCATGTTATTAACCGCCAAGCTGTATTTTCTGTCAGTGATTCCAGCTTTTTCATGTAAGGGAATACATAAAGAATGATGTTTCTATAGAGCACACTGGCTGGAGTAAATGGATGTGACTACAAGATCACCAGCCCCAGTTCTCCTGCTGCTGTTGACTCTGCATACCCATCCCAGGAATAGGGGAATCAACATCTCAGCACACTTACGTGTCACAACATCCTGATCATGAAGTTCTGCTATACATTATAACAGTATTTCTCAGTGTGGTTACAAGACCAGAAGCATCAACATCACCTGGGAACATGTTAGAAATGTAAATTCTCAGGCCCCATCTAGACCTACTGAATTAGAAAATCTGGGAGTGGGGTCAAGAAGTCTATAGTTTAACAAAACTTCCAGGTGATTCTGATATACATAAAAGCTTCAATACCCTGTTATATTATAAAAACTTATTCTATGGTGCTAGGAAAATTGGTTGACCATAATGGTCATAAATAAGTACATATATATGTATGTATGTACACATTTTATATATATTATATATATATATATACACACACACACATATACATACATATATAAAATATATAAATATACATATACACACCCACATATATGAAATGTACACATTATTATTATGTATAATAATACATAATACTGGAAAACTAATATAAAAAATTGTATTCTAAATACCATCTTTTATCCCTCTATTAGGAGACATTGCTGTTTATACCTAAGAGAATCAGTTAATTTTTATCTTTTGTTTTGAACTAATGAACATTTTGTGAATTTCTTCAGTTTATGTTCAAACCCTCCCAAACAAGTGAATACCTACCTTTTATTCAGCTTTATTGTAATATTTAGATATGGTGGTTATTAATTTCACTGTCTAATAGTAGAATTAGTAGGTTGAGTAAAAACTGTATTGCTAAAACACAAAACTTCTCTTTGTGTCAGCCCCCATTTAATGGCTCTTAAATTTTTTAAGGTCATTTACTCCTCAGAGAATCTGTTCCTGGAAATGGACATCTTCACCAGAAGAAAGATATGCATAGTTAATATTTTGCATAAAATTTCAGGATACCTTGACTTAATTGCAATAGGATAAGTATTTAGTTACCTTTAGTTAGAAGTTCATGTTTTGTAGGATGCTGCATATTTTTGGTTTGATTGCTTATGTTTATTATTTTAATTAACTTATTCCTTCTTTCCTGTCACCCTTACTCTAAGGTGGATACATTGCAAATAGCCTAGCAATCATGACAGATGCACTTCACATGTTAACTGACCTAAGTGCCATCATACTGACCCTGCTTGCTTTGTGGCTATCTTCAAAATCACCAACCAAAAGATTCACCTTTGGATTTCATCGCTTAGGTAGGTAATTGGGCGTTTCTTTGGTTTATAAAATTTTATAGTAAAACCACAATGAACTATAACCTTTGATTAACTGAAATCTTTCTGATGATAGTCTGTTTGAACAAAGCAAATGAAAATAGACAAATAAGATTCATTCAGATATGTATCTTCCAGGGTACATTCAGTTCAGTCAGCTAAATAGTTTACACATATAAAATTACATGGTAATCGGGGACTTTCCTGGCAATCCAGCAGTTAAGACTCCATACTTCCACTGCAGGAGTCATGGGTTCGATCCCTGGTCGGGGAACTAAGACCTCACATCCCACATGCCACATAGCGTGACCAAAAAAAAAAACTTATATGGTAATCATTAATCTTCAAATGTTGTTCCTTGTGTCCTGAAGGTGTTAACAGAAAAAAAGTTTACCTTCAGTTTATCGAACCAAGCAAAACCACATGGATTTAATTCATCAATGAGCATTAGCTTTTCTTTCTCTTAAGGTATTCCAACCAAAGCGACTTATAGCCCAAGTTTTAGGCACTACTATAATATGTGTAACATACTGTATGGCTGACCTTCATTGTGGCCATTAACTGTAAATGCTAACAAAGATTCTTTGCTCGACCAAACATTTGTCAGTCTCCTGAGCTGTCTCCCAAGCCCATCTCTGTACTTCCTTGTTAAATCTAGTTTTAGGAAGAACCCTGCCAAACCAGTCTAACAGAACCTCCATTCTCAATATTTGATGGGTTATTCCCAGGTGATGTCTCATCACCCTGGCCTGTTTTCAACAAGGCTTCCCTATACCGATCTTGACAGCTTCCCCGCAACTGTATTAAAGTCTTCTTTACCATGTTTTAATAAGTGTCATTGAATTTTTTTCTTTAACAATGCACACATATTTATATTTTCCTGTTTTGAACAAATATTAATATTTAATTAAGAGAGGTTAAAATCATACAGTTATCCACACAACTCTTCTTGCCATGTTAGTGGTTTTTTTAATTTTTACTTATTGTCAAAATACATATAAAACAGTTACCTGAATTAGTATATGAAGTGCCATATGACCAATTTTGGGGTTTGCTTAGAACCCAAAAATTGATTTAGGCAGCTTCAGCAAAACCTGTCTTAAAGAACCAGAATTAACATCTTGTAGTTTTATTTTGTGTAGACAATGACACTCTTGGCTAATATTTCAATCAGTTCCTCCCCTTCTTTGTTACGTTTTAGCCTAATCTTAACTCAACATCTAGGTCTCCTATAATTTAGTAGCTGGGTCTTCTAGTGTAAAACTTGACAGTTTACCTGAATGGCTATATTCCAAGTAGCTATCCAGGTCATAAGTTTGGGAAATTATCTGGCATCCCCATTTCTCAGCACCCTCAGCTGCTGTACAAGAGCAGTAAAGCCCTGAGTGAGGCCTTTCTGTTATTTGTTAAGCAACTGAATAACACATAATGCATTTGGATGTGTTCCTAAAAAAAACTCGCACTTCTAGCTGACACATTATACATCCATTTGTTTACTGATTGCCTTGGGTTTTTTTAAAAAACTTCAAAATTATTCTTAAACTTTAATTTTTTTGTGTGATTTAAACACCTGCAATTTAAGATAAAAACTCAAACATAACATCGTGGAATGGGGATTTTTACCTTCTAACACTATTTAAGAGAGTGCATTCATTTTAGGTTATAGACCCCTTGGAATTCTAATGAAAACAGTGGAATTCTCCCCCAGAAACATGCAATACCAGAACATAGAAAGTTCTACAAATGCTAAGTTAAGAACCCATAATCATGAAAATTCTATTAAATATCAGAGAAGTACTTAGTGTTTATCTAGATAGTCATAGATACCAAGTACTATGAAAAGATGAAAGAAAATAGAACTGACTGGTCCTATTGTATTTCTGTACATTTCTATAGAAAGTCAAATTTTTCCCTTTCCTTAAAAGTACTACTTCAAGATGGTGGACTAGAGGTCAGCATTTGAGAGTCCATTGAAATAAAAAGTACCAAATCAACACAGAGAAGCAAATGGTTGAGTCACCAATCAACAAGACATTTCCAGAAATTTCTGGAAGTTGGAAAGTAGATGGGAGTGGGTTGAAGAAAGAAACAAGCCAAGAAGCGACAGCCTGGAGAACACTAGGGTAGAACTGGACCAGCCCAACAGAACTCCAAAGAAGACTCAGGGACAGAGATGGCAGAAGTGAGAATTGGGGCTGAAAACAAGACTAATTGAATGACTGCAAATGAGAGACCGCTCCCACTAGTCCACTGTGTCCCTACCTTCCTCCCACCGCCACCTCCACTTAGGTGGTCCGCATTTTCCCCCATGTAAACACCACACAGTTCTTCCAGAAGGAAATTGAACCAAATGTTTGGAGAAAGCTGAGGCTTTTAGTGTGAATGTTGATGCTCCAAAATAATTCGTTTTCATACTAGAATTCAGGGTTCTCCAGCCTTATAGTTTGGTTCCCCACATACTCACACTAAAGTAATACACTTGTCTTAGTCTTCCCTGCTCTACACCCCTTATTAGTAACCATTTTAAATAGTTATGGCTTATCCTTCCAGCATTTCCCTTTTGCAAAGGACAGTTTCCCTATCCTACTACCCTAAATGTGAACAGACAACCAAGGATCTTTCAGAAAATGGGAAAAACCAGCAGCATGAAAGAAAGTTAAGAAACAAACAAACAAAAATTTGTCCTACAGGAAAGAGAGGTGACTTAAGAAACAGAAGAAAATGTTTTCAATTATCTTATTAATATACCCAGAATAATACAACAGTAAAATGTTTTGAAAAAGAAACATACAGAAAAAGCTCTTTGAAATTGAAATATTACTAAAATTTTTTTAAAGTTTTTTTCAATAGAAGGACTAGAAAATATAATCAAGAAAGTCTCGGACTTCCCTGATGGCACAGTGGTTAAGAATTCACCTGCCAATGCAGGGGACATGGGTTCGAGCCCTGGTCCAGGAAGATCCCATGTTCCACGGAGCAACTAAGCCCGTACGCCACAACTACTGAGCCTGCGCTCTAGAGCCCGTGAGCCACAACTACTGAGCCCATGAGCCACAACTACTGAAGCCCGTGTGCCTAGAGCCCGTGCTCCACAACAGGAGAAGCCACCACAATAAGAAGCCTGTGCATCACAATGAAGAGTAGCCCCTGCTCAACGCAATTAGAGAAAGCCCACCCACAGCAACAAAGACCCAACGCAGCCATAAATAAATAAATAAATAAATTTATTTTTAAAAAAAGAAAGTCTCCCAGAAAGACAAATACCATATGATATCACTTATATGTGGAATCTAAAATACGATACAAATCAACATATCCATGAAACAAAAACACACCTACAGATATAGAGAACAGAGTTGTGGTTGCCAAGGGGGAGGAGGGGTAGGGGAGGGATGGAATGGTAGTTTGGGATTAGCAGAGGCAAACTATTATATATAGGATGGATAAACAAGATCCTACTCTATACTATGTTCAATATCCTGACAAACCATAATGGAAAAGAATATGAAAACATATAAATATGTATAACTGAGTCACTTTGCTCTACAGAAGAAATTAACACAACATTGTAAATCAACTATACTTCAATAAATTTTTTTTTAAATAGTTCAAAAAAATGGCGTCCCAGAATACAGAACAAAAAAATAAAAACAGGAAGAAAAAGTTTAATATAAAAGAATAATCTGGGAGGTCCAAAGTTGTATTATTAAGAACCTCAGAAAAAGAGACTTACAAAATAAAAGGGAGTGACTGCTTAAGGGGTACAGGGTTTCTTTTTGGGGGTGATGAGCGTGTTCTGGAATTAGATAGTGGTAATTGTTGCACAGCATGTGCGTATACTAAAAGCCACTGAATTTGTCCACTTCAAAATTGTTAAAGTGGTGAATTTTGTTATTTGAATTTTATCTAAAATTTTTTAAGTCATCTAAAAAATAAAAGGAAGAGAATTGTTAAGATATAGACAGGTATTTTCCAGAGCTAGGGAGGGAATCACATCCTCACACTAGCAGGGCCTTTTGGGATCTTCTTTTTCTTCTTTGTATTACAAAACTTATAAGGATATATCTAGATAAGACTTATTTCACTTATCCTGCTCTTTGAAGTAATGGAAGAAAAACTTATGATGTGGGGAGGATTAAAAAGACAACAAAGATGTGTAGAATTGAATAAAGCTATAAACCAAAGCAGTGGCTGTCCTTGTGTGCTGTAAAATTCCACCACCT